ATCAATTTTTTCATATATTTATATATATTATATATATATATGTATATATAAAAAATATATAAAAATACATATGGGTACTCAAATGAAAGCTCTTGATGAGTGTAACATCGGAATGAGCTTATATCTTTAAAAATGTCAATAATTAAGAAATTATATTGTATATATTTACTAAATGACTCATTACTCTACTGTAAATATTAAATACACATACCTTTTCATTGATATTAGTAAATGCTCTGGTGAAAACTTTATTGTATCATAAATTATGTAAGGTTGTGTAAGGTTGGAAGAAAGCGCTTAAGAAGTATTGCAAACTTTGTTCTTAGGAGTATTTTTGTGCAGAAATAAATTACATGCAATTATACACAATGAAATTTTTACATTCATATTGCTAATTAGAATTAGGTTCTTGTAAAGTACTTGTTAGAATACTGGTATTGAAGCTTTTATAAGTTTTAATGCATAATTTAAATAGTCAAAATAAAATAGGAGAAGAGAGAGAGAGAGAGATAGCATTTTTTAACACTTCTTGCTTTTCTAATATAAAATAATTGAATTTTGAATAATTAATAAATTGAAATTATTATCAAATGAGTAATCATATCGGATGTAAACTATATATCTATTACGGATAAAATAAACGAAAAATTCAAGGAATGAAAGTTTATTTTTTATCCTTATAACATCAATTTCAGAGAAAAAAAGTCATAATAAAGCCAATATTTAATTGTTCTGTTTTATTAATATAAGATTTTGTTATTCTCATGAATAGCCTTTTGTTAAATTAAAGAAAGAAAAAGTCAAAAGTCAAAAAAATTGACCACGATTAATTTCGACTCAATAACCAATTGTTTGTTTAAGGTTAAGTACGTCCGATTTAAAGGTAACAAAGTGATTAAAGTAAAGAAAAATTAAGATTTTAAATAAAATTGACCGCTTCAAAAGAAATCAGGACAAATAAAGTCAAAACTAATTCATTTTTGACCCAGAAACAACAAATACACTACTAACATATATGAATAGAGGATTATTTGAAAGGTATATGGTTTATTTGAAGAGTACGAAAAGATAATTTTGCTCCTATTATAACATAATTTAGCTTATATTATGTCTCTATAAAATTTATAACTCTATTGATGACTAGCAAAATCATTAGAAAATATACAATGGACATTTTTGTGGAAAATTCACTGGTCTGAGGAAATAGTTTCTTTTTGTTTCAATTGATTTTTAAATTGGATTTGACCTGATTTGTTATCAGGAGACGACCAATAATGAGTTTCCTTTGTACCAATACTGAGTTGTGTGTAATAGAAGGTTTTTGCTACTGTTTAAGCACACTTTTAAAATTTTCATTTTTAAAAGACGGATCTGACTACTTTTACATTTATTTTTCTTCTCAGTTTTCTTAAGCTGCTTTTTTTTTAAAAAGTAAAGAAATTAGTGAAAAAAGGTTCGTAAAGTTGATATTAAAAGTTCATCTTTGAAAAAAATTTTTTGAAGTCGCTCCTATTTAGTTGTTTTGGAGCAAGGAAAGACTTTCATGAGACAAAAAAATTTTCTTGGCTCAATAAAACTTCTCTCAGTCAAGAAAATTATCATTTTTGTTTTTTTAATATTTTTTTTTCAGTCAGGAAAATTTTTTATTGTGCAAATAACAAATTATTAATTAAAATTAATAATTATAAAAATTTTTAAAATACACTTAGAGTACAAACACAGTAAAAAATATTGTGTATTTGTGTCGAAAACGGTTTGTGTTAAAAATTGTAGTGTGTTAAAATAACACAAAGCTTGTGTCATTTTTTTTTGTAACATAAAAAATGTGTTATATACTCTTTATTAATATATTTTGTATGTTACTGGGCAATGAACACAAATTTTGTGTCAAACTCGTCATTAATATAACATCAACTTTGTGTTGACAGCCCGTCGATTCTTCACTTTACGCAGCAAATATTTTCACGAAAATATAATAAATATTAAATAATAAAGACAATTAAATTTATATGACACTGAAGTTAGCAGACGTCTAAAAATTTTTAATTTTTTTTTTTTTTACATAAATTACAACTAAAAAGATATTTCTAAAAAATTGCACTTCTAGTTTTTAAAGTTTTTTAGATGTGACACTTTTTTTTTTAATTGTTAAATTGAAATTTTTTCAATAAAAAATTTCTAAAAGTTTTAAAATGTCGGTTAACTTCATTTTCATAAATTTATAACTCTGCTGCTTCACTTTTAAAACCTATAAATTATTTTTTGATTTAATTATTAAAAATTTTTCACACTTTCTTCCTTCCAATTATTTATAGTCGGTAATTGTTGATGTTTCGTTAAAATGTAAATGATAAAAAAAAACATTTTTAAATAAATATTATTTACTGCAGTTGAGGAAATAAAAAAAAATTATTTTATAAGTTATGTTATAGACATCAAACAGTTGATGAAAATAAATAAATTTATTTAACATTTATTCTTTGCGCCTTCTTGTGCCGATATTTCAACATAATCTTTGTGTTAAAAAGGGGTTACTCAAAATTTGTGTTGAAATTTCAACACATATTTTGTGTCAACCGTTTTTAACACACATCAAACTGTGTTGATTTTACACAATATTTTTTACTGTGTATACCATATTTCAAAAAATGAACTAAAGAAAAATTTTCTTTCAAGTTAATGAGTTTTTCCCCCAATATTTTTTTCACCCCGGGTATTTTTCAAACTCATAATTTACCTACAAACCATATTTGTAGATACTAACACTATTGAATTTAAGTCAAGACATATACTCAAGTCATGTAAACACAAAAGCGAGTTAATCTGGAGCTTAAAAATAATCTAGGATGCCTTCATTAAGTTTATACTTTGCTTTGTAAACCAGGTATAAGTATGCACCAAAATGTTATTACACTTTGTAGCTAATATTATTTCCTAATCTCATATTAAAAACCTGTGCTACAAAAGCTTCACAGTTCAAAATTTTACGTCATTAGATCAAAAAATTTTGTGTTGAAAATAAAATGTTCCCAAAAAATCAATTATCTTAAAATTAATAATTTAATTTTTTGATTTTTTTTTTAATAATTAAATTAAAACAAAAAAAAATTTTTTTTAAATTGCACTTACAGTTTTTGAAGTTCTTTACAAGTGAAATTTTTTTTAAAATTTTTTTCTAATCATTTTTTCAATAAAAAAAAATTCTAAAAATTTTTAAATGTCGGCTAAATTAATTTTCATAAATTTTTGACACATTTTTCATTGTGTTAATAAAATTTTCATTAGTAAGTACAAAACTAAGAATTATTAAGTGATAAACAATTGAAAATAGTCCGACGCATAAATTATAAAAATGAATTTGAAAATAATGAATAACGTGTACGTGAATGGAGTGAGATTATTATCAGAAATTTATCATAATCGGTGTACATAGAGTAGTAAAGTCGCCATTGTGATGTATGTATAAAAGCCAAAGACGATTGGTCGAGTCTTGGCGTTAAATGCCGTAGTGGGGAAAGTTAAATTTTAGAGGCGTTACATACCAAGAGTGGGGAAAATATACCTACAGCTTTCAGTACCTTAGAATTGATAAACGGAGCTTGTGTCATTTTCGAGTTAGTTTTGCTCAAGTGCGTACACGTTTTTCTCTAGTACTTGTTAAGTTCGACATACCTGGGGCCTAATTGTGACATCTAGCCTTTCAATAGATTAGGTTAGTAATGTCGAATATTTGTCGGCTTAAAATAAGTGAAGTGATAAATTTTTATTTTCAAATAAAATTATTAAAAAAAAAAATAGAGGATTAATTTTATCAAAATAGACAACAAAAATTTTTTTTTTAATACGTAATGACTGAAATTAGTAGTGTAGGAATGGTTTATTACAATCAACTAACGATGTACCGACAACAGCAACAGGCACAAGCGTCTCTTCACCAACAACACTTAACCAGCCAGCAGCAGCAACAAGCAGCAGTAACTGCAGCAGTAGTAGCTGGAGCAGCTGTAGTAGCTGCAGCAGAAGGCTCCCAACAGTACTGGTACCCTCATGGGTATCCTCATGGTCATCCTTCGTCAGGGTCTTCGCACCAATCCTCACCTGGAAGCCAACACCAGTACCTAGATCACCTCTCAAGTCCCACTGGGGACGTTCTCACCTGCTCCTGGCCTCATTCTCATCCTTATTCCCATCATCTGCAGTATCAACAGCCTTTGTATCATCACCAGAACCAGCAGAGCCCCATGACTCCTACTCCGACTGACTGGAGCATGACCAAGACCAATAACAACAACAATAGCAACATAATTGCCGGCAGTGAACCCAGTCCGCCGATTACCATAAGTGGCAGTGAAATTAGCAGCCCTGGAACACCCGCTTCGCCTAATATCAGTACTCTTAATCCAGCTAATAATAATAATAATAATAATAATAATAATAATAATAATAGTAGTGCTTCCACGACCCCTGTTAGACCCGCGCCAATTCGCAGCCCTTATGAGTGGATGAAGAAAACTTCGTATATTCATCAGCAGACTCCTGGTAAGATTTTTGGGTTTATTTGCATGGAAAAATAATTTATTTCAACACGGAGAAAAGTAAACTGGATATAATATTTATTATTATGTATTAATGCAAGAAGTTTTGAATTCGTGATTAATTAATTAATTAAATAAATAATAATAGCGTTGCGTTTAAAATTTACAATTTGACACTGATAGAGGAATTTATTTGGATTAAAAAATATTTTTTTAAAGTTACAACTCTAATTTTTTTTAATACCGTTTAATATATTAAATAAATATTTCTTAGTATTTAAAATGATTTGTTTGTATTTAATAAATCTGATGATATTCATTAATAAATCTTTTTAAATACTAAGAAATATTTTTTAAGGACTAAAAAGTCGTCTCTAATAAATGATTTATTAAATATTAACAAATATTTTTAACTATAAACAGATCCTTCTATCAGTGTACTTTGTAAATATTAAAGTAATACTACCGGTTTTAGAATTAGTGTTCAGAATTTAATGAAATTTGGCATATTGGTACTTTATAATATCATAATTAAGCAGTAAAATTTTTGGAAGCCTGGCGAGTCCTGAAAAAAAGATATCAATATTTACATGTTTTTGCCTTTACCACACAGAAAAAAAAGTCATCTTGGGTCAAGTAATATTTACTTGATCCAAGTATATTCAACTGAAGATCCCTACAATAAAAATACATGACAGTTTGAAGTTAGTCAATAGTCGAAAAAATGGGACCTGATTCCTTATTGGTAGAATATAAACCCTCCTCAGTTACTATTGGTCAATCTCCTGGTACGTGAACATATCAATATATCGATATAAATCGAACAGGATAAATTCATTCTAGAATTCCGATAGGGAGCGCGCGAATGCGCGCCGTTAAAAATTCTAGTAAAATATATTCTTGAGTTAAGTAAATTTTTTTCTTGTTTTGGTCAATCTTGGTTTAAGCAAATATTCCCTAGTTCCAACATGCGTACCAACTTAAGTGAAGAGAAAAACCTCTTAATCCAAGTAAATCATTCTCTTGGTTTTTGAACCTGCTTGATGTACACACGGGCGCATCGAGGCCCGAGTAGGACAGCAGCCGCGCGGAAACCCATTTTCAACATTAAATAAAAATTATTGTTTATGGAGCTAGAGTTCCGGGAGTCGAGACTTTTTTTCAGAAATTTCCTCCTCTTCAAGGATCTTTTTTCTGATTGTCGATATTACTTATAGTTATTGAGTTATTAGCGCAACAAATTTCTAACCGTGTACTTTGTATGAGTCGAGCAAATACTTGTATATACATATATTTTTGTCACTATATACACACTTAATTGTAAAGCAGCAATATAATGGGAAATCAGCACGTTAAAAATTAATCAAAAATGTCTAATTAAATGAACACAAAAAATAAAAATCATGCATAAGGTTATTTTTTTTAATTTAATTCTTTATTAAAAAAATCTCGGTTTAGTCCAAAAAATCACGTTGCCAACGTTGGCGCTACTTTCCAAACCAAGAGAAAGATTTACTTGGGATAAGTATATGACATTATTAGTTCAAGAATAAACAATAACTTGAAACAAGAAGTAAATTTTGAAGAAAATAATTTTCTTGAGTCAAGATGACTTTTTTTTCTGTGTATGGTTTCCGAGCATATGAAAATATTTATTAATAAAAAACATCCAAAATTTGTTTCTATCTCTCTTTCTCCAACGTGACTTAGTATAGGGAAATCTACTACGTTAATCAAATAAGGTTAAGTTTTGGGATTTGACTCTTGTGGTAACGGTAGTACTATCTTAACGTTGCTTTTATAGAAAATTTAGTTACTGTAGTTTATATTTTTGACATATTCTGCAATCATTTTTTAAAGGCGAAATGATTAATGTCAAAGTCAAAATTCTTAATTATTCAACAGAAAAAAGTAAACTAAAATTCACTCGGATTCCCGGTAATTTTTATAGTTTCAAATAGTACAGCGGACATCATAGCACAAATGTAAATATTACAATTAATGTAGAAAGTGTAAAGGCCACAATTTATTATTTAATATCGAAAATGTGAATAGTAACTCTATCTTAAAAAATTACAGTGTCAAACAGTAAAAATTGCTGTTTCAATATATTGAGGGGAAGAGGAAGGTCTTACGCTCGGAGAAATTAACATTTGAAACAGTAAAAATTCTACTTTTAATTAAAATATATATTTGACCAGTCCAAATAAATTAATAATTATGTAGTTTAATTTTTAGAGTTGCGTTTAAAATTTACTATTTGTACTTTATAAAAATTGACGATTTTATAGAAAATTTAGTAACTGTAGTTTATATTTTTTAGGTAGATTTTGTTAGAAATCTAACTATTGCATTAGTCCTCATGGTGGAATTTTCACCTGATTTTGCTATTATATGTTATAATTAGTCGAGTAGGTTCCAAAAATACCATTGGTTAAAAAATTTATATATATATATGTAATATAACCAGCCTTGTCATCAGGATATCTCAAAAAGTTTTCAACCGATCTTTATGAAACTTGGTACACATATTCTTTGGGTAATTACCGAGGTCGAGTTCGAAGATGAGCAAAATCGGTCAATTAGTTTAGAAATGGCGGCCTCAAAAGAGCTCATTTCTGAAAATCTCATGGTGAAGCTGATTATATTTTCTTCAATTTGACCTATAACACTTATACTTTAAGAAGATTTTTATTAATTTTATAGGCCACTCAAAAATTTTAAAATAATGAGAACTTTTTTTCAAATGTGGTTTTTTTAGAATGACTTTTGAACAGCTTTATCGACCGATACCAAAAACTAATCAGCTCTTAACATCAAAAAACTACGTCGATCGCCGCTGGACCGGTCAAAATCGCTTGATTCGTTTGTGAGATATCGTTGACAAAAAAGCGTTTTTTTTCAAACAAAGTCCGAAATTTTTTATCTGATCTATTCACGGTTTGAAATTTATCATAGAATTCAAAAAACTGCATCGACTGTTGTCAACTACGTGATAATCGGTTAAATCGTTTAAAAGTTATAATAGCGGATTGAAAATTAAAAAATTACTTAAACATGTTATCGAACAAATTAAATAACATAAATAAAGAAAATCTCATATCACATGAAATCTACCTTCCATTTCGGGTGAGGCCAAATGGCATTTTTTACATATGCGATCATTTTTTAGGCGGGAAATGATAAATGTCAAAGTCAAAATTCTTAATTATTATACTTAAACATTTTCAACTTTTATACAGCGAATATTACAATTGATCATTACTTATTAACTTATTATAAATCGACTATTATTTATTAGTTTACTTTTTTCTGTGAATCAAGAGAAAAATTCTTAAACCAAGAAAATAATTTTGAAGAGTTTCATTGTCTTGGAAGACAAAAAATTTCTTAGTTTAAGAATTTTTTTTACTCAAATTAAGAAGATCAAATTCTTAAAAATTATTTACTTCAAGCAAATTTTTTTTCTGGCTTTTGGAGATAAAGGGGATTTCGTGGGTCTGATAAAAACTAAGACGAAAATAATAATGGATAAATTTTTAATTTATATATTAAATTCTTGTTACATTTATTGCGTTGTAAATGGGATAGTTGACTCGTGGTATAGATATGGAGAAACAATGTAAACATTGTTGGATAGATGAAGGTAAACATCTAATTGTTATCAAATATTTGTAAGATTAATCTACAATACTTTTCGTCATACGTGTACTTTTAGGTTTTATTTAGAAGAATTGCGTTCATTTGTAATTTATTAATCGACGGTAAGAATATGAATCTTGTTGAATTGATTTATCATGACAAAATTAGTCATTTAAGAAGAATATTTTTTATTTTTCTTGGATTAAATCATTTTTACATGATTTACATGAGAATTTTTTATGAAAACATTTTTTGACGCAATGACGGAAAATTTTTTTAATTGAGATTATTCTTTCTAGTTAGAACTAATTAGAACGCCGATGTGTTATGCAATATGTAATAGAAAAAATTATCGGAATAATAATTTTTTCTTTCCCTTCAAAATTATAAATTTATTACTTTTAATTTGCACAGTAAAAAATTGTGTCAAATTTTGTCATTGCGTCAAAGTTTTTTGATGCAATCGCAAAATATTTTTACTGTGTATCTTTAAAAGTCTTAATTTTTTAACTTAATTTATCTTCGGCAACTAAAAATTATCATTATATTTAAAAATACCAAACTCAAAATTTTAATTGAACTTATTTTGTCCTCCTGTCCGTCCAGTGATATAAACTTTAAAAAATGTTTCTCAAAATCTGCTCTTTACCAACTTTTACAGCTTGTAACATTGGGATCACAAGCTACTCAATATCGGTGCTACCAGAACTTACCCTCGACGGTAATAAAAATACCCGTTGAACTGAATGTTTTTAAAAATCTGCATGCCTAATAATTATCCGTCCATGTTTTCCGTAGTTGCATTATACAAGTAGAAAAAAAAAATAATTGATTATTTTTAACGATTTTCAAACGCTCGTTTCTACAAGCGTGAGACTCTCATATTTTTTTACTGGTGATTATCTGCATTTTATGGTTTTATTGCTGCATTGCCGCTCGTATAATGCGCCTTTGCATGACTTGAAATGTAGGTACATTACAATTAAATAAAACCCATTCGTGTAGCAACGTACACCATCTTTTATGGTGTATTTTCCTGTGTTTCAAACAAACAGAAACACTTGGCAATATCTAAGTTTGGACATTTGCAAGTTTCGAGCTTATGACTCGAATAAAAATACGATTCATGATACATGTTTGAATTATTTTAGTTACACGCGATTTCTCTCCATGTTCCTAATACCAGATACAGTGAATAATATAAAAGAAAATGCACGCGATCATATACTTTATCGCTATTGGTATTTTGCATATAATTTTTGTCCATAATAAGAAAATAGTTTGATTGATTTAAATTCCTAGATTTATCTCAAATAACTTAAAAATGCGTATTATAATATTAACAAATTTGTTTTATTTAAATTTGGACCAAATGTTATTTTGTTTTAGTTTATTTC